AGCCCCGCGGGGAGTTGACAGCAAGTTTGGCTTGGGAGGGAAAGAAAATAATAATAATAAAAAGGAAAGAGAGGAGAGATAAATTAAATAAAAGACAGGAAGAGAGGGGAACGGGAGCGAGGGGCCGCGCACAGCTTCACACAGCTCGGGGCGCCGGCCCCAGCCCCGACCCCAGCCCCGACCCCAGCCCCGGCCCCTGCCAGGCGCTCACCTCAGCGGCCGGAGCCCACATCCACGCGTGTCCGCGCCGCCTCCTGCTACAGCTGAGGGGAGAGGGAAGGGGAAGGGGAGAGGGAGAGGAGAGGGAGGAAGAGAGAAGGAGAGGGAGGGAGGGATGGAGGGGGGCGAGGAGGTGAGGCGGGGGCGCGCTGCACCTGCCCCGCCGCCCGAGGGGGGAGAGGGGGCACTCACTCACCGCTGCGGCCGTCCCCAGCGCCATCCTCCTCCCTCTCCTCCTCCTCCTCCTCCTCCTCCCTCTCCTCCTCCTCCTCCTCTTCCGCTCAGCACAGCGAGAGGGAGGCGCCAGCACGGCTCGGTGCGGCCCTGCCACAGCCCCCGGTCCCCAGCCGGGAGATGGGGAGGGAGGGATGGGGCTGGAGACCCTTTTAGGGGGGGCACTGCAGGCAGCGCAGCGCTCTGGCAAAATAGAGCAGGGCTCGCGTGTTGTGCCGGCTGACCCTGCTTTCTCTCCTTCTCCCACAGCCGCTGGAAATGGACGGCGCTGCTGGCGTGCCCGCCGAGCTGCAGGGCGGCCGTGCCCAGGCGGACAGGGTGCTGACGGCGCAGGAGTGGCTGCACAAGTGGGAGACGGGGACGGCCGCCTTCCACAAGGAGCACGGGCACCCGTATGGCACCGCCGCCCCCCGCCCCGGCCAGCGGGGAGAGGGGCCCGGCCAACAAAACCCCCTAAAACTGCAGGGGTTGCGTAGGGAAACGCGGGGAAACAGGCGCTGCCTGGGTGTTAAAATAGCCCTGTGACATCCACTTGTTAAAAAATGGCAGCAAAAAAGAAAAAAAAATCATTGCGTTTAGAGATATTCCTCCTTAAATCACGTTTTAAAGTTTAGGTGACCTGGCTAAAAGCCATAAGTTCTCTGCTGCAAAGGCTCCGCGCTGCTGTCATGAAAGCGGGGCCTAAAGCAGCGCTGGGGCAATTATTGTGCCCTGGGAGAAAACCCAATTATTCTCCTAAGGGAGAAAACCCAATTATAAGGTCTTGTAACCAATAAAACTTACACTTGAGGCATGTATCGATGATTGATCCAGGGGCTTAATCATCGCTCTGTTTAAGCTGCCTGCCGCGGCCCTTTTAGAAGTGGGTAAGTTGGGTTTGTTTACCCGAGAAGGCGAGCAAACAGAAACCAGGACAAATTTGCTCAACAGAAATGAAGTTCACTTTCCGAGAAAATGGAAGCTGAAAGTTCACAGCTCTTGCTTTTACTTCTAATAGCCTTCCTAACTGGCTGTGTATCCCATCGTGGAGTCTGCGTGTTACCTTGTAGCGCTTGGCTCTTGGTGGTTCAGCACAAAGTGAAAAATGTCTGTTCTTCCGCAGGCTGCTGGAGAAGTACCTGGACGTGCTCTTAAGCGGCAGGAGTGGACTGAGGATATTTTTTCCACTTTGCGGTAAAGCAGTAGACATGAAAAGGTACGAAACGGCACAGGTTACAACAGCGAAAATCTCAGTGATGTGGGGAGGGAGGGAGGGAGAGGGGGAATTCCCAGCCCTACAACAGCTGGCGGCAGACTGGAGGCTTGCTCCGTTTCATTTGCTGGCACTTCGTTTAGTGGTGTAAATGGGATGGCTGAGGAATAGCCTGGGCGTCCTTCTGACCGCCCTGAGTTCAGCCTGGGGAATGCCGGATTTGTGACAGACAGAGTGGCAGAAACTGTGCCCTAATGGCTGCTTCATTTTTTGGTGATGCCAGCTTAAATGGCTCCCAGTGAGCCTGGCTGTGCCGGAGTACGTGCTCGTGGGACCACGTGGCATGTCACACCTGGGAGTTTAGGTGATTTGTGCTAAATACAACTTTTTTTTACATTTCTTTATGTTACTTTCAATAGTTGTTGGCTGGGTTATAATTTATTATTAGGGGCTGTGTAAGCCTGTGCTGCTCCCTGGGGGTAAGGGACATGAGCCAAACCCACCCCAACTGATCTGCACCCCCCAGTTAGCCCCAGTGACCACGACTGGTCATGGTGATGGGTTCCTAAGCTGGCCACAGGCCCCGAGGCATGCCACTGCCTCAGTGAGGACCCTCACCCTGCTGCCTTGTCTCACTGAGCACCACTGCCAGGGCAGCCTTCCTTTCCACTGTGCTCATAGAAAGCAATGATTAAGCAATGGGATATAAATAAAGCCTGTGAGTCCCCATCAGCTGCATGCTGAGGGGTGCTACCGTAAACTCTGATTATGCAGGGGTGGTGTTCAATAATGTGAAAACTCCAGAAAGAGGACACATGCCAGTGCATCCTAGAACCAGGCTTGAGCGAGCATTTCTCTAGCAAATACATATTGAGGTGCACGTACAGTAACGGCCTGAGCTGTGGGCCTCAGTAAACCTGGGACCTCTCTGCTGCATGCAGGCTGGCTGACCTGGGACACAGCATCGTCGGCGTGGACATCAGCGAGCAAGCACTGAAGGAGTTTTTTGCAGACCAGGGTCTGTCTTATTGTGAGGAGCCAGTCCCAGGGATTGCAGGAGCAAAGAAGTTGCAGGTAGGTTTCCTGCGTTGCCAAATGGTCTGGTGTGGTCAGCCACGCAATGCAGGCATAACTGAGCAAACAAGTCCTTCTGCTTTTATGCCACTGTCTTGCTGGTAATTGTTCATTTCTCCTAATGAGGTCTGAAAAGAAACACTGGGTTGTAGTTTTGCACTGAGAAGTTCTTGTTTTGAGCTTATTACTTTGTCTTTCTTTTCACATAACTTTGGAAGGCCTGAATATGAAGTTTAGAGGATAGCATATTTCAAAATTGGACAGTCACATGCCTTGATAGATCAGAACCTCTATGGAAGGGATCAGGAGGTGTACCTTGGTTTAAAATAAATAAATAAATAAATAAATAAATATTTTTTTCTTCATGACACCTAAGTGTATATTTAAAGATGTAGTTTGCTGATGAATATTTTTTCTCTCTTTTCATCCTAGAGTACCTCTGGAAACATTTGTCTGTACTGCTGCAGTATTTATGATTTGTCCAGGTAGGAGTCCACAGTGTGTCCTACAATTTCCTATAGTCAAACATGTTCATACTGTCAAATTATTTTATTTGAACCAGATCCTCTCAAGAAAAATCTTATTAACTTGTGTGAGAAATGTGAATAGCCAATATCCAACAAAAATTACCCCTGCTGTTGACCATTAGGTAAAGATGGCAGCTAAATATCTTTAAACGGGCTTGTCTAAGCTGTCATCTAAAAGTTATAGGAAACCATGTTTGCTTTTGCAGTAAAAACAAATTGCATTCTATATTATTGATTGATTCTACAAGGCAAAATCCTAGCACAATCCCTTACTCAGAGTAGCTTAGTGAAAGTGAAGAGAATATACCAGAGGTGTCGTCTTAGACAGCTTTTCCCGTAACTAAGTACTAAATATAATTTTCCCCAAAATTATTTGATTAACATATTCATGAGTAAGCTGTACCCATTGGTTATGTGCCCCATGCTTTACTTATACTTTTCTCAATGGGTTTAATATACTTAACATCCTTCCAATTTATGTCCCTTTTAAAATATTGTCAACCAGTGACTGCAAGTGCCTTTACAAATATGGCTCAACTTACTGATATCTTCTGAAGGATTTTAGTGCTAAAATGTCCTTATTTCTTATTCGTTCTTTATCAGTTACAAGACACAATGGAAAATGCAAAATATTTCAGCACAGTCCACGCTACTGTCTCCAGAAAAATATTTCAGCCCACTGTTCTCTGTGGCCTCAAAGTCACTTCTCAGATCTTGGGGTGGTTTTGCACCTGACTTCCTGCTCAGCTGTCAGCTGGTGGGGAATTTTGCAGAGATTACACAGAGTTGTACAGAGACTCTCATGGCCTCTAGCATAGAAGACTCTGCCTTGGACAGTAATGCATCTGGTTTGTTTATTTGTCCTCAGAAGGTGTTCACAATAGGCGTGTGTAAGTCTGTCCTGAAACGTCCCCAGACCTACATCAGTGCTGGGGTAGCTGGAGATTGGAGAGCATGCAAGAAAGTGATGCTTCTGGTTTTGAAATGTATCTTGAAGGAAGCTGAAGATGCCCAGTGTCCTCTACTGTAGTTCCTTCCTCTTGTATTTCTTACTCTGACACAATTTACCCTAGAGTTTAAGGTTTTGGTGAGGTTATGTGTGTTCATACAAACAACTGTCAGTAACAATTTGTTCCCTGGCTGTTCAATTAGGAGGAGGAGGTCAAGTCTTGATCTTTATGTGGATGGGCTTTTCAGAGAGTCAACATGTACAGGAATAATAGGTTGCTTAGGACACAAGAACACAGTGCTTGCTTAATGGTCCCCTTTGTATTCATTACTCGAGACCAATGTCCTCTAGAGAATAGAGTGCTGCGAAGACTTCTGCTGTTGCAGCTGTTTGGTTCAGAGTGTGGATAAAAGGAGTCTTGCAAAAATGAACACTTTGGAATGGATGGGCAGTATATGAAAGTGACTTTGTAGATACTGCCTGGTTTCCTCCTCACCTTTCCCCCGTGATGTAGCTTCTTGCTGTGTGGAGTCCTAGAAGCCCCTCTAGCTGCGAGCTGACAAGCTGCCCAGGGACTGCTCGAGCTTCTCATCTGCAGTTTTTGAAAATTTTGGTTCTAAGTTCGGTAGCTGGTAGCGTGGTAAAATCTCTAACTTCCATCGTAATGCGGTGGAATGATACTACGAAGTAAACCGAAAATAGGTAACTAGTGAAAACTTCAGTTGCTGTCAATGGGCCCAGTAGATAGGTTTGTCACTCACAAAACAAACTGGCAGGTACGTGTTCTGGATGCGTGGTTCTGTGCTGGGTGCTGCTCTGACAAATGTACAATCCTCGTTCCCTACAGCAGTCAGCAGATACCTGTGACTACAAAAATGCACACACAGTTCTAGTTTCTATGTACAGACATTTGATTAATTACCCAGTAATTATGGAAATTAAACTTATTTCTCTCTTGCCGAGGCTGGCCTGCAAACAAATCCTTTTGATCTCCTCGCCTAGCATTCATTAGGGGAAAACTCAGATCTACTTGTGACCTTTGTCAGAATGAGACATTTCAAAGGCTCTTGCTGGTTAAAGAGTAACAGGAATTACTGCTCTTTGTGGGAACTCTGGGAGGTGTGTTAAACAGTTATGTTACACAATCATCTTACGTCCTAATACAATTATAGCTACCAGACTATAAATAAAAATTGCTTTAACCGAAACTACTAAACGTGTGCAGGGATAGCAAGGCACAACGTTATTACCAAAAAGAAGTAGGATTTGTGTGGATATGTGAATTGCTGTTTTAGATGTTAATTTCTATTAATCGTAGCAGTATCTAGACTGCCATCTCTCATGCTGCATGTCGTATAAACTTATAGCAGGAGATAAAGTGAGGCTGAAGTCTGGTACAGTGAAAGGTAGATCCGAGAGGACTGCTTCCTAATACCTTAGCTTCATCCTGATGGAATCAGGATGAGAAAGCCGTGTACCTTTTTCTTCCATTTTCTCCTGGCTTGGTTCTCCTCGGAAGCAAATGGGATGTAGAGGCAGGCAGGGAGCACCCAGATGTGCAGGAGCTCCTGGGATCTGGGCACCAGGGAAAGGCTGCAGCATGGGGCTGCCCACAGCCTGCGATGTCTGCAGTCCCTGGTGAAATCCATGGGGAGCAAAGTACCTGCAATGGCAATGCCTGTGTGGAGCCACCGCCACCGTTCCAGTTAGACCAGATGGGAGGTGGAAAGAAAAAAGAGGTGGAAAAAAATGGCAGGGGTTTTCCTGAGGTCTTGCAGCAGACTTGTCTATGCAGAGAGAACAGCCTGCAAGTGTCAGAAAATGAAGTTTGTCACCTGCCCCCTCATCCCCACTGCCTGTTTAGCTGTCTCTTTAAAACCCTCCTTTCTTATAAGAGACTGCTTATTTAAATTAGGTGCTTGGTCTTGGCAAGCTCTAAGAGGAGTCAGGAATCTGCAGCGTTATCGTGTCTCATCGCAGCAGAGCGGGAAGTACAGGCTCAGCTTCTGGGTTAGACGCCAGAAACTCAGCGATGCCATTGCAAAGAAACGAGCAGCAGGGCAGGGAGAAGTGAAGACAGAGGTGATGCAATTGGACTCAGACACTCTCCCAGTAGGCAGAAAGGTATTGCAGACTTTTTTTTTTTTTTCCCTCAGTAAGTAAACGTATTTCAGACTTCCTTTAAAATTATGCAACTTATTTTATTATTACTTTGCTCTCTAATTTCCTGGTTTAATAATTACCAGAAACAAGGCTTTTCCTGCCTGTAAACATCCTCATCTCTAGTGTCACCCTGACTGCTCTTAACACCCATGAATAAAGGCATTTTCCAACAGTCTGGGCTGCTTGCAGGCTTTAGGTAGTCAGTGAAGCCGTCTGCCAGAACATTCAGGAGCAAAAATGATGTCTGTCACAGTGTTAGACTGAGGCAAGTACCACAGTAACTTCACTTTAATAAGATTGAACAAATTGCAGACTGAGGCTAACTGTCCTGAGCACGTGGCTGGGGATTGGGGTGCTTAAAGTTACTGAGTGTGCTGTGCTCAGCAATCCTAAAGCAGTGAGGTGCCTTCCTTACCCTGTGTTTAAAATCATGTGTAGGTCCTAGAAGGAATTCGTGAGTTAACGATGTCCCAAACGTATGTCGGTGCTGCCTCAGGGGTCATGGCACGTTGTGACTGCAAAAACATCAGACTGGTATCCCAAAAGTGTTTAAAAAGTGTTTCTTCCCCCTGCCTCGTCTCAGCACACCCTGGAAATGGGGAAATACCAAGCAATTCCAGCACCCTGTGCTATCTACTGTGGCAGGACCGCACCAGAGGGCTTCTTGCGACCCAGTTCATAATGTTCTGGGTTGTGAGAAGGCTGGATCCTAACAACAAATCGGGTCTGCACAGCCAGCTGGAGACTGCTGCCGACTGCTCAGAAGAATCTGAGTAAGGATGAAGCTGCCTTATCACTAATTTTAAGCTTTTTTCCTCGTCTTTCTATAGTGAAATTGTTGGCAAGTTTGATGGGGTTTGGGACAGAGGAGCTCTAGTGGCTGTGAACCCATGCGACAGACCACGGTTAGTAAATTCGCTTAGCAGTTACTCTTTCCTCTAATGTATCCACTGACACAATTTTGTTACCTTGGGCCACCTGTCGAGAAGCCCTCTTTCACTGAGCAGAGTAACCTAAACCATTTTTTTTTTTTTCTGCCCTAAGCATGAGTCGCAGCTGCAGAGCGCGGTGCTCTAGATTTGTGAGCTTCCTTCAGGAAGCGGCCCTGCCTCTTGGTGGGAAAATATGTGGTTTGGTGCAACCCAGAAGCAGCAGAGCTGCAAGTCTCATCTGAATGTTATTATTTCCTTTTCACCCCATCTGCGTCTCTTCCCTCTCTTCATCTTCCCCTCACTTTTCTTTACTTCAATTTTTCATTCTTGCCTGCAGCCAACCCAAACGTAGTTTGACCCTGCTCCCAGGATTTTTGAATTAGATACGCGAATCCAAATAATTTCATTCTGAATTCAAATAATTTCATAAATCAGTCCTGTGTTCTCTACTGCGTTCTAGACCGTGGTGGATTAATATGGTGTTTTGTCTGTTGGTTTTGAGAAGAACATGGGAAATATATATGCTGAATATGAGCCAGCAGTGTGCTCAGGTGGCCAAGAAGGCCAACGGCATCCTGGCTTGTATCAGAAACACTGTGACCAGCAGGGCTAGGGAGGTGATTGTCCCCCTGTACTCGGCTCTGGTGAGGCCGCACCTCGAGTACTGTGTTCAGTTTTGGGCCCCTCGCTACAAGAAGGACATCGAGGTGCTTGAGCGGGTCCAAAGAAGGGCGACGAAGCTGGTGAGGGGCCTGGAGAGCAAGTCCTATGAGGAGCGGCTGAAGGAGCTGGGCTTGTTCAGCCTAGAGAAGAGGAGGCTCAGGGGTGACCTTATTGCTCTGTATAAGTACATTAAAGGAGGCTGTAGCGAGGTGGGGGTTGGCCTGTTCTCCCATGTGCCTGGTGACAGGATGAGGGGGAATGGGCTAAAGTTACGCCAGGGGAGTTTTAGGTTAGATGTTAGGAAGAATTTCTTTACTGAAAGGGTTGTTAGGCACTGGAACGGGCTGCCCAGGGAAGTGGTGGAGTCACCATCCCTGGAAGTCTTCAAAAGACGTTTAGATGTAGAGCTTCGGGATATGGTTTAGTGGGGACTGTTAGGTTAGAGGTTGGACTCGATGATCTTGAGGTCTCTTCCAACCTAGAAATTCTGTGATTCTGTGATTCTGTGATAAGAAATGCTTTTTTATCAAAGCATCCAGAAACCTTTCTTTGAGATGTTTCATGAATTTCGTGCTCGTTTATCTCTGCTGAGTTTCTGTGCGGGTCAGTTTGACTTGTCTCCACGCAGGACTACATGTTACTGTCTTTGGTGAATATTTTGAATGCTGTGCTTCAATGTTTGTGCAGTTCCAAAATAATAAAGTATCGCTATTTCCTTTTAGCTATGCCAGTCTGATGATCTCCCTAATGGAGAAAAATTCTTCTTATCTCCTCGTTACTGTTTTATATGATCCAAACAAACACAAAGGTGAGAACTTTGCACTGTTCATGTTTTGGTTTTGCATTAACAAGAATTGTGTAAAGATGTATTAGATATATAGTAGGATCTCCCTCAGCTTTTTTAACAAACATGGTCTGCAAACGTGGTCTGCATATGCCTGGAAGAGGTGAAATTCTGTACGGCCATGAAGTGTTTTTCCTTATTATAACTTTTATTACATGCCAAAGTTTAGTTTTTATTATATTATTGTTATCATTTTAATCACAAATTCACAAAAGATAGATTTCTTGCTGCTTTTGATCTCTTCAGCATAATTACCCTTCAGAGAGAAGGTCTTGTTGTCATTAGCCACAATAGCCTAATTCACTGCTCTCCCTCTCACTATTCAGCTTTTAGCTTTAATTATGCCGTTGCACTATAAAGGGATTATTGGCCCGATTCACACACGGCAGTGAGAGTGGTTGTATCCATGGTGTGTTTGTGACCTTCCCTCTTCTGACAACGTGGCTGCCTTGGCTGCAGCCTAGAGATTTTGCTGCAGCAGCAGCACCTGAAGCTGCCAGGGGGTCCACCAGGGTGCCTCCAGTTCTCCTATGTGGTGTTTCTGGTTCCTGCAGGTGGTACTGCACACAGGGGCTACAGCTGGCTCTGGCTCTTCTGTCGCAGTACAAAAATTTGTCTCCTCTCTGATTAGCTTCACCGTTTCCTTTCCAGGCCCACCGTTCTACGTTCCTGAATCTGAAGTTAAAAGCTTGTTTGGTAAGTCATGTTTCAGCTCACCCCCAGGATGTTTTCCAAAACACAAAAATAGGTTTGTGTGCTTCTGTCTCTGCAGCGAGTGACCAAGTTATGTGTTTGCTACTTAGATAAGAGATGGAGTCATGGAAGAACAATGAGGGAAATAAAAATCACTTTGCCACAAGGTTTTTGCTATTAACACAAATTCCCACATTTTCAAAAAATACAAGGAAAACCCTAGATGCAGTCGCTGTCTCTTTTCTCCCCATGACTTCTTTTCATTCCCCCAGGATTCAGACTGCATGCTGTGGTCTCATGGCTTCAGTCTTTCTCGTATTTGACAGTTTCATCTTTCTTTGCACCTCATCACCATCTACCCTGGTTTTAATGCAAGGCCTTTGCATATTAGTTCCAAAGCTTCTGCCGTATTTCTGTAGCCAAAGAAGAAAAGTAAAATGTCCTGCTGTAGAAATGCTAGATGTGCAACTCAAATCCATTAATATATATATATCAGAGTTGTGTCAGGGAATTTTCAGTATTGCTCATGATATGCTTTGCTATTGCACTTCTTTTAATCTTACATCTTTACGAGACCTCTGTAGTGTCCGTACACAGTGAGTCATTGGCAAGGACAGTTTTATTGGTCTCTTTTGCAATGGGATAAGTTTTCCTCAGTGCATTTGTGTCACACAGTTAGGGACATCTGTACATAAGATTTTGTCTTCTGCCAGTTTGTTTTCTTCGCTGACTTACCATTCAGTAATTTGTTACTCTTTGCTCCTTTTCAGGCAACCACTGTGAAATTAAGCTTCTCGAAAAAGTCAGTGACTTCTCAGAAAGACACAGGCGATGGGGACTGGATTATTTTCTGGAGGTTCTGTATATACTAAAGTTTGTAGCTTGATTAAAATCCATTAAAACAACTTACCTCCCATCTAGCTTTCATTTTTATCTCACTTTTTAAAATGAGACACATTTCGGGACACTCTTAAAGCAGGCTTCAGTGTACAGAAAAATGTCTGAGAGACATCTTCAGTTTGATTTTGCTTTCAAAGGCAACTCTCCTACATAACTGACTTCAGTACCTTAAGATGTGCATAGCTTTTCTTTAACTTCACACACAAGCAATTGTTTTTTGAATGTTTCTTTTGCAGCAATTCAAATAGTTAGGATAAAAAAATAAATAAATGAGGTCCCTTCTCTGTGGCTGCCAGTAGCTGCTGCCTGTGTGTAGCTCTGCAGGTCCTCTTTGGAGACTCGTGGCCCTGGAGTAATGGCAGCTGCTCTTCAAATGCTGCTCGCCTTGCACCAGCGAGGGCAGCTGGGCAAGAGAGGCGGGCAGCTGGCACGTTTTGCTGCTCTCTGTCCCCGTTACGATTACAGGTTGAGAGACAAGCTGGCAACGAGCAGGCAGCAGCCACCACGGGGGAACAGTAATCGAGTAGTGAAGAGAAGAGGGAAGTAAATGGCTGACAATGAAGGAGAGAGTCCACGAAGAAAATGTTCCTGTGGTCACTTGTATGCTGCTGCCTCCTCCAGAGCACAGCGACCAGCAGGCAAACTGGCAGGGGGCTGTAGGGCAAGAGGGGTCAGAGAAAGCCTGTGGGGCTTCTGCGTGGTTAGCCGAACACAAACCCTTCTTTGCAGGTCTTTGATCTTTGCCATAGGGATAATATTGCAATTTTTTAAATTACAGAAATGGGGACTCTGAAAGCTCTTTGTCCTGGCCTTGGTGGCTTATTAAAAAAAAAAAAAAAAAAAAAAAATATATGATTGCAAAGTAGTATGTTGCCATTTATTAAGACTAGAACGAGAGGAAAAGCTACGTGCGTTTTTAATGTTGCAGTCCTAGAGCTGCAAGTGGGTCTGATGATTTCAGCACAGCTGTCCCCAACCTACCACCTCTCCCCCAGCCCACAGCTCTCGATATTGCTCACAGCCACTGGGAGCTGCTTCAGCGCAAGGTCACCAGAGAAGAAAGAGATGACAATGACGCTTACAGTGCTACCTTCTCATAGCCTGTGGGCCGGCATAAGTTGGGAGCTGCTGGCTTTGGACATTTTCACTTCAGCACAGTTTGGCAGCTACCGGGTTAAAGCATCTCCTCTCTTTGTGAGAGCTGTTAAAACTGATCTCAGGTTTGGGGAGGCGTTGCAGCTGTCCCAGGTGCTCGATGATGCTGACCCTGGGGTCCTGCACAGGGCTCCAGGAACAAGGGCTCGGTCGTGCTGATGGGGTGTCCTGGTAAAAGAGCACATGCTGTCCGTGCTGTGTGTAGGTGTGAGAGGGAAAAGTGGCTGCCAGCACTTTTATATAAAGTAAAATAAAGTAAAATAAAGCAAAATAAAGTAAAATAAAATAAATATTTCCCTCACATTTTCAAAGGCTTCCCAGAGCAGCAAGGGGAATCGCGTGCAGGGGCGACTGCTTCCTCACCCTGACAGAGGCACGAACGGCACCATCAGCCCTGAGGTAACTCGATAGCTGGACGCACAGATGAATCTGACGCATGTTTTACGTGTATAATTCGATTTTATTGTGCTTTTAACAGAGACTTTTTGTATGGAACGGGAGCACAGAAACACTCCCTCCCAAAACTGGGGCTCCCCGGCGACCCTCAAAACACCTCGGCGCGGCGGGCGGGGAGGCTGAGAGCTGAGGGCTGAGGGCTGGGGGCTGAGGGCTGAGGGCTGGCGGCCGGTGCCCGCCATCGCCTCAGGGATCAGCCGGGGGAGGCGTGGAGGCGGCGGGGCCAGCGTCCCTCCGCCGCCCGCCCGCAGGGGGCGGCCGCCCGGCCGCACAGCCCCGGCATGGCGGCGGCGGGGGAGGCGGGCGAGGCGGAGCTGGGCCTGCTGGAGTGCCGGGTGTGCTTCGAGCCCTACGGCCCCGGCGGGCAGCGGCGGCCCCGCAACCTGCCCTGCGGCCACGTCCTCTGCCGAGGCTGCCTGAGCGCCCTGGGCGGCCGGGGCCGGCTGGAGTGCCCGTTCTGCCGGCGGGTCTGCGGGCCCGCGGACACCAGCGACTGCCTGCCGCTGCTGCAGCTGCTCGAGGTGCTGGGCCCGGCTTGTGGCATCCTCCCGGCTGCCAGCAGCGGGGCCCCGGCGCTGCGGCTGGCCCTGGGCGGCTGGGGAGCTCTGGTCAACCCCACGGGGGTGGCGGCGTGCCCCAAGTCCGGGGCGCTTGGCGGTGGCCCACGATGGCAAGAAGAGGATCCACGTCTATGGGCCCAGCGGGTCCTGCCTGCAGCGCTTCGGGGAGCGCGGCGAGGCAGGGCTGCGACGTCAAGTACCCGCTGGACTGTGGCCGTCACGGCCGACGGGCACGTGGTGGTCAGCGACGGCGGGGACCGGGCGGTGAAGGCTTTCGACTGGGAGGGACAGTGGGGTGCTGGCCGTGCGAGAGGGCTTCTGCCTGCCCTGGGGCTTGGACACCACCCCGGAGAGCGACGTGATCCTGGCGGATGCGGAGGCAGGGGGTGCTGTACCGCCTGACGGCCGACTTACGGGAAGGGCGAGCTGAAGAAGTGCCAGGTGCTGCGGGCCAAGTTAAGCAGCCCCAGAGCGGTGGCGGTCTGCCGGAGCTCGGGGGCGGTGGTGGTGGTGGAGCACCTGAAGGCCAGGGGGCCCAAGGGCAGCAGCACCCGGATAAAGATATTCAGCGCGGACATGGATCTGGTGGGACAGATGGATAGCTTTGGCCTCAACCTCTTCTTCCCCTCCAAAATATACACCACGGCCGTGGCCTTCGACAAAGAGGGCCGCATCGTAGTGACAGATGTCTGTAGCCAGGCCGTGATCTGCTTAGGGAAGCCTGGGGAGTTTCCCATCTTCAACCCTCTAATTAGCCACGGGCTTTCGTACCCCATAGGACTGACTTACACGGCAGACAATTCCCTTGTGGTGTTAGACAGTGGTGATCACACGGTAAAAATATATAGCTCCACCTGAATGGGCCTAGGTTTATAGGGCTGTATCTGCTTTTGGCCACAAAGCAAGCAAAGTCCTGGTCTTATAGGTGTGTAGGGAGGGGGTATTTTCTGGGCTTGACTTGAAGTGAAAGTTACCCTCTTTAACCAGCACGCTCTGCTTCCCGCGTAACTCGCATCAGATCCTTGCCTACCCACAGGAGACAACCTGGCTGCTGCAGGCCAGTCAACAGCAAATCAACCAAGCGATTTGGCATTTAAAAACTACTCCATGCCTTGACAAACAAATATTCATACTACTTTTTGCGAAGTAATAGCAGTGTCTGGAATGGAGTAATCCAGGACTTGCAGCTGAGAGAGAGAAGGATGCATCTTTTGGTTACTGTCATCAGCATCTTGTCTTCATTATTCTTTGTTAAGTGTGAGAGTGACAGAGTGGTTTCTGTAGGATTTCTGCATGAGAAAGGAGACTGACTGGATGAACTGGTGGAGAAATGGCAGATTCGGCTCAGGGTCATTTGATCCAGCCAAGGTGAATTGCAATATAGGAGCTATCAGCAATTAGTGAGTTATATGATGTGGATTGGTGCTCAAAACTTTTTTTTTCTCCATATTGGGGAAATGCACTTCTGGATGCACTTTTCTTCATATTTATTACCGCCTTTATTAGAGTTGTGCAGAAGCAGTTGCACTTCCTATATAATGCATGAGCCTGTGTCTTCATCCAGATGTAGCCTTGTGCATGGGCAGCTTTCCCCAGCAGCCTCTCCAAGTATTGGTGTTTAGACCACAGGTACTTCTGCACATACAAAATTGAATTGGCTGTGTTACTAACACGGGTACTCTTGGGAGATTTCCAACACTACCTGCATCGGTCTCGTAATTAATTTAGTACTTTTGCACCGATCTTCAAGATTCAGTCAAAAATTGAAATGGTGTTGAGGAGTAAAAACAGGGAAAGGGGAATGTGAGACTTGCTTTTTCAGAGCTTCCAAAGGAGGTATTCTTGATAGCGAAGTACACAGCAGGTTTAGGTCATTTTATATTATCCTGAAAGCAGTTTCACTGTGGACATGAGTTCTGTTGCCTTATTGCACCATGGAAATTGAGTTATAACTGGAATTACTTTGAGAAGGATTTAACACACCCACTAGAAGTCACTGCTGCATTTTTAGGCATTTCTGCTCCTAAAGGAATTGTTTAGGTGGTTCAGCTCTAAAAGGAGGTTAGATATAAATGTAAATGCTTTATGAGGTAGAAACAAGTAGATCAGAATTGCATAAAACTTCTTGGTCATGTATGTAGTGACTGAAAGCATGCATATTAACTAAAGGACACTTGAAATTCACAGGTAGTCTTTCTATTTTCATCTGGCTTTTGGTCTGGCTTCCTCGGCAGTTAGTAACTGCATGTATTGCTGTACCAGGGATATTCCAAATATTTCAAACTGAAGCATTTTTAGCCCTCTAATTCAGACAATGTATTAATCTGTCCTCATGTTACCAGTTTATAAAAGAGAGCAAACAAAACTATTAAATGCAGCTATTTGTAAAGGCTGATTGAATCAGTGACCTGCCAATAAAGCGTGATTTGCTTACTCCTATGCTGGGCAATTTATTGAAAGTTTCTAACTCCTTTTTATCACAGTTTTCTCTGTTACAGTTCAATTTCTCTGCTGTAGTTGCTCTATAGGTGGTTTCTTTTGTTTCCTTTGGAGATATCCTGCCGAAGTTGTAGGGTGATTTGTTGCTGCTTGGAAAATACATGGGCCTGCACAGTTGGTCTAGTGCCAAGCCGTGCAGCAAGTGTCTTTGGTGGGACCAGAAATATCTCTCGGATATTTTGCAGTAGGAGGTATCCTGCCCTGCCTAGGAAGCCCTCCTGAGGGCTCAAGAAGGAAATTTACTCAGAGAAGCAGCCCCCTGGCTTATATATGCCTTTCTAGGTGCCAAGACAGCTGTCTTCAAGGGATATAAAAACAATTGGATAACACTTCCTTTGGGGAACCTCTGTGTTTCGAAATGCGTGTAATACCGTGTATGCTTTATTCATACATCATTATTAGTTTATCACAATAGTAGTTGTGGGACCTGGACACTTCCTCTGTGAGCTCTCATCTCCTCAAATCTTCCTCTGCACCAGGAGCTTGTTTTTCCTGCTGATCTCATGGGTGGGCAAGTTTCCTAGTGCCTGCTACCATGTAGGAAGCTAACTAGCAGCTGAAATGCTGACATTTCACTCATGTTGTTTTAATAGACACAAAATCTCCCATTTGTTGCCCATTCTTCTCCTGTCTGCTTTGATATACAGCTAGAAGTCACTTGGTGTTTGGGTTTTGCTTTATTCTACCTGCTAGGGCGAACCACCTGTCTTCTACCTACCTAGTTTGCCCCACACCAAGTCCTGCGTTCTCTGATTTATTGACTGCAAGCAAATACATTTTTCATTTTTATTTTTTTTTATTTTTGGTGAATGATGCTGTTTTCTTTTTGCTGTAAGGCTTGGTATTCGGCATTGTTCAGCACTGCATCAAAGAAACCACTGAATTCTGTTTTAATTCACTTGATTTGGGCATGCAAATTAAGAAGCTTTAAAAAAAATACATTAAAATCATGTTAAAAGCCCTGAGTTTTTCACGGGAAAACCTGAAATCTTTCTTTAATCACACAAGAGGATTTAAGAGAGAGATCCACCAATACACATATAAGAAACTAAGAAGTCTTTTTTTTTCTTACACTTGCCTCTTACTTTTTTTTCTTACTCTTGCGTCTTACGTTATGCATTTATGCACATTTCCCCATAGCTAATTTAGATACCTGTTGCCTTCAGGGTGATAACTTAATGCCGTCTGCTTTTCAAAGACCTACAGAACACGAATTGCGTCTCTCTGTCTGGTAATTGGTTGGAATTTAGTCAAATATTTTAACTGAACAAAAACTTGGGTTCTGGGGGAAGGATGGAAAAGGATGAGGGGCTCCTGCCTGAACAGATCTAATTAGGTAGATGATGATTTTGGGGTTCTACTGGGTGTATTGAAAATGGGGATGGCGAGATGTGTTCTTTCCCTTGGAAAAGAGTGCTGGGATTTTCACCTATAATATGGGATTGTGTCTCGCTGCTTTACTGATAATCATCATCGCTGCTATTTAATAAAAGAATCTGACCTAAGCGTTGCATAATCCCCTGCACCACATATTTTAATATTGTGGATTGCAAATAAATGTAACAGACAGTATTCCCCTGCTATAGGTTGGTATGACTGCTGCGCACACACACTGCAATTTCTATTTGGTTTATTTTTAAGCTCTGATCTCAGATTGCTTTCGTTGCATATAAATATACTAGGGTGTGTTTACAGTGTTTAGCAAGGTGTCAGAGGAGTTTCACAGATGTGAATCAAATCTGTGTCCTATAACATAACTTTTGTTTCATTTTGGTTTTGAACAAAATATTTTCTGTTAAAGAATATAATTATTCAGCTTGGTGAATTAAAAGAAGAAAGAAAGAGGGAAAAAAAAAGTATAAAAAGTATAATTTACTTTTGGCCTTTGGCTATGAGTTCCCTCAAGCCACATTGCTGTGCACATCAGTTTGATGTTTATATTTTCATGACATGCAGCCGTAACATCCCCGTAGCATTTTTTAATGTGGACTTATTTCAAGTAAAGAGGAGAGCTCCTGTAATGTCAAGCCCCAAAACCACCAAAAGTTTTATAGAGTGGTGTCCGTCAAAGTGGCGACCTGAAATACAGGAAGCCTCTCCTTCCTAGAAGGGTTGAGAGAGGTAAAAAAGCAACTTTTCTCCATGTGACTGTGCTGGAAAAAAAATAATAAAGGTTAAGGGAAATATAGGAAGGCAAGTTATTTTTCTGTAGAGTGCAACGCCACCGTAACCCATGTTCCATCTAAGAAAATTATTTTCGGTGTGTTGAAGATGCAGAGTTATGAAAGACGGAGCATTATGGAAGAAAAAAACACATTTTCTCAAGTTCCAAGCTGGTTGGGTCTGTGCAGCACCAACCCCCTTCTTCTGAGAGGTGCTGCCAGTTCTGGTGTCACTCATCTGGTCCTTCTCTGTCTAGCTAAGATGGTGCTGTCCAGCTTAATTAACACTGGAGGAAGGCATACCTGGGCTGTGTTCCTCCATCAAAGTGGGCATTGGCCATGCTTCAAGTCCATATTACATTTTCAACTTGATTATCTCAACTAAATGTGCCAATAATAACATATTTATATTTGATTCTGTCACACGAATATTCAGGTTTTCTCTGGAGTGTTTCCCTAATATAACCAGCCTGTGATTTTCCTGGACATCTTCAAAGCTATTGAACACAGGAGAGGTTTTTGGTGAGCAGACGATGCATTGCATGGATGCCTTTTTTCCAGTCCAACGCTTTCCAAGAGATTTAGAGATATTTTTGAACTTGGCGTTCCAACATCTCTGTGAGGCAAACACAATACAAATGCTCTGGCCCTGCAGTTGCAGACAAGAGAGCTGAGAATCAAGGGAAGCCTTTGGCAGATGAGAGACTAGATCTCAGACTTCCCATTACAAGGTTGGTGCCTTAATAAAGGAGGGAGAGTCTGTATTTAATTATCCTCTTGTCGGGGAGCTGCCTTCCTGGTCTTGTAACAAGTTTTGACATTTTACTGATGGTCTCATTGTTACTAATTCCTTTGTTGTTTCCTACGCATGATGGAAATTCATACTTTTCAAAAATACAATGTATTCCTAGATAATTGCTTCCAGCGTGCTCCACGAGGCTGCGTGGTTACAGAGCTTGGATGTGCTCTGTAGGAAGGTGTCCTGCTGTGAAGCCCCATGGCAGTGATCGAGTGACTTCATTTGGAGGACAGAAAGGAGGAGAAGAGATTAACTCCGAAAATGAGAAAAAAATTAATGAAAGGTGTCCGTGGCTTAAGCAGAAGGCAAACACCCACCAAATCGGAGCACACCCATAGTTCCAGCAAAGGGAATGCATTCTTAAGGCGTGAAGCATTTCAGCCTGGAAAATGGACAGGAAGATAAGGGCAGTCACCTCTTGATTAGCATTGAACTCTGGCAGGGGTAAAACCTATTTCTGAACAGATTTCACAGCATAATTATGCACTTTTCAGATGGTAATAGTTAAGAGAGCAGTCTATCACTCTAAACACAGGAAAAATCTGTGGGAAATGAAGATGTGGAGCAAATTAAGCATTTTAGAGAAGTATATTCCCTATAATCAAATAAATACTTAACATTTTTGTGAAGACCCTTCTTAATGAAGGCAATTTTCGTTCCTTCTTCACAGGTGAGCACTATATGGAGCCATGTGTTAAGGTAAGAACAAATTCTGGTTTTATGCAATATGTTGGTTTTTAAATCATGAAAATACTTCTTGTAAGGAGACTCTGTAAAGCATTTTAAATACTCTACACCGATATGCTTTGTAATTAACAAACAGTAGACAATATTAAGCAGGATATAGGTCTAGAGAGGTAAAACTATAACTTGGAAAATGAAGCAATTTATTTTGAGAAATCTGTAAAGAAGTTAAAATATACGTGTGTCCTTTATCAGAACTTTAGTTAAATTTATAATAGAAAGAAATAGTGAAAGAATTGTCATACCTATGTAATCACAAAAGGTATTTACTGGTATTTGTTCTGAATGTAAATAGAGAAAAGACAAAATACACATGAAACTTTTACTGCTCACCCAGCATGATTTCCCAAATAATAGGGACTATGGAATTTAACCAGTATTTGCCAGAGTTTAGTAACTAGTGACCTGTGGTGAAAGGAAGAAACAAGGACCACTTGTCTTGTACTACCACAGACTGAGAACTTGAAGTGAGAAGGAATATGATGCCATTAAAGACATGCTTTATAAGAAATCTGTCAAAAAAGTTAGATGGAAGTATTAAAAATTTAAAATAGCCTTCTTAGAAAACTGGGTGACTCACTCCTTTGGTTGTTGTAGCCCTTAATTAGGTAGGAAACAGGGCTCTTCAGTGAGCTCTGCATCAGTTTCCACTCATCTTACAGCACGATGTTATGGAGCCTAAAGTATTTCAAATATGTATGTTATTCTTTTTCTATTCTTATTACTCCTTACAGTGACTTGTTTGAGTTGAGGCTCGATCTGTCATAAATAGTTTATATGTGCAGTGATGAGTACTTCAAATGGAATTGTCCATATAAATAAACGATGCAGGACTGGGCTTGAAGTCAGGGAGATTTGGGCTGGTGCAGAGGTTTGCCCTGGAGAAGTCTTTGCAGCAGACTTTATTATGACAACTTCTGGGAACACTGGTTTGTTGTTTTTTTTGTTTTTTTTTTACATGCTGAAAGCCCTGTGCATGTTTAGAATATGTTATAACTAATTATGACATTCTTTCAACATCAGAAATCCTTTGCAAAGCAAAGCTAACATAATGGCTTAGCTTTTCTTGCTCATTTCTGTGTAAGACACTGAAGCCTTGGCTGGTTCCTAACAGTCCAGCTGACTACAGGGATCGGTGCAGCACCTCCCTTTCGGGACGTGGGGTTGCTCAGTAGCCTGACAGACCTGGGACAAGGCTTACTCTGAGCTGTCAGCAGTGGAGAGCTTGCACCTGG